TTTGAGTTTGTTTCTCTTGAAACAAGGTTTTATCCCTTGAGACAGTTTCTTTTGAAGAAAAATCTTTGACTTTGTTTCTTTGGAAACAAAATTTTGTCTCACTTAGATACAATTTTCTGAAAAACAAAGTTTTGTCTCTCTTGAGACAATTTCTTTTGAAAAATCATTGAAAATGTTTCTTTGGAAACAAAATTTTGTCTCTTTTGAGATAGTTTCTTTTATGAAAAATCTTTGAGTCTGTTTCTTTGGAAACAAAATTTACCATCTTTGAGTATGTTTCCCTTGAAACAAAAAAAAAATCTTTGAGAACGTTTCCCTTAAAAACAAATTTTGTTTCGCTTGAAATAGTTTCCTTTAAATGTAATCTTTGAGTCGTTTCCCTTGAAACGAATTTTGTCTCTTTCGAGACAGTTGATTTTGAAAACCATCATCTTTGAGTTTGTTTTTCTTGAAACAAATCTTTGAGTCGGTTTCTCTTGAAACCATAATCCCTAAAGATGGACAACCATCCTCATCACGTAGGAACCGTGTCATCCCCCGAGCAGACCTCCTCATCACGTAGGAGCCGTGTCACCCCTAATAACCAGTCATCCTCATCACGTAGGAACCGAGTTATCACCCTTCCTAAAGATTGCCAAAACTCTTTATCACGTATGAGTTGTGTCATCCCCCCGACCAGATTTCCTCATCACGTAGGAGCCGTGTCACCCATAGATAACCAGACGTCCTCATCACGTAGGAACCGTGTTATCTCCCTTCCTAAGGATGGCCAGAACTCTTCATCACGTATGAGCCGTGTCATCACCTGACCAGATCTTCTCATCATGTAGGAGCCGAGTTACCCTTAGACGACCAGACCTCTTCATAGCAGATGAGTCGTGTCGTCCCCAACAACCACATATTCAATTTATAGGCAAAAGAAGAGAACCAGAAAAAAACATACTGTCTTGTTGTCTTTGCCCTATTCTTGTTAACATAATAATGTGCAAAGAGGGGCAGCTGTAGACACTCGTTTTTGTCCGAGTCTTTTTTTTTGTTTATTTATTTTATATTATTATTATTATTATTATTATTATTATTATTATTTTATTAATATTATTATTATATTTTACAGGCCAAATGTGGCCCAATTACAAGCCACTCAACCCCAAGGCCCAAACAAAGGACCCAACTTAGCTAGGGTTTCACCCTATTCTACCTAGACGCCTTTAACACCAGCCGTTAGATCTAGAGGAAGATCAACGGCCTAGATCATCCCAGATTAGGGTTTTCTAACCCTAAAATGTTACATTGCTGCCACCAGTGGACACCAGCTACCAAGTCGGCGCATAGGCATCACTAATCAGCTCAACCGCCGCTGTCACTGTTCCGGCCCACTCCGACGATCCAGCCACCGTCCCACGCCACCATCGTCATCTACAGTAGAAAAGTCAATCAAACAACAACCATTTCAGTAACAAATCACCCCTAAATCAAAAACCCATTAAAAAATAGGATTAGATCCCGATTTTTCGGGATTTAACATATTACAAATCAAAGACCCATCCCATATCTACCTAGATATCATCATCATACCACCAGAAATACACATGGAAGCAAACATAAAAAGACCAGAGAAGAGAAAAGAAGGAAGCATTCGGTGAAAAACCCATTCGGGGAAAATGAAAAACAGAAAAAAAAATACCCATTCAAACCTAAAAAAACAAGAGAGGAAAGGGAGAACAAAACTTACCCAAACCAGAGGCCGTTCAATTTCATCAGAGATCGGGAGCCAAGATTTGAGGTAAAACTTCCTAGATCTAGGGTGTTTCTTTTAGTTTTCGGGAAAGGGGCTTTGGATAAGGGTTTAGGGTGAGAGAGGAATGTTTTGGGGTCTTGTGGTTTACTCCCACCGTCGTGCGCCGCCGCTGGCGCCGCTGTAAACTGATGTGGCTGACGCAGGCGGCATCTTTCTTTCTCTCCCCGTGGAGGAGGGTTGAGAGAATTTTATTCTCTCTGTGTGTGCTTTTGTAGAGAATGAAGAAATGAGAGGGAAATGAGGGAAGAAGCCCGTTTTGGAGCTTAAATATGGGGAGCAAAACACTGTCGTTTTGGCCTCCCATTTCATCGTGTATTTCAAGCATAAGGGGAAAATAGCACGTCGGGTCCCTGACTATTGTGATTTCATTTGTATTCGTCATATATATTAGGGTAAATTTCAGTTTCAAGTCCCCCACGTTTGTAATGTTCTGTTATTAATCACTAATGAAACTTTGAACCCTTTGACTTAGGGCTTCATGTTTTTTTGCATTATATTCTCGTCCTAGCTTTTATGTTAAATACGTGTATGTTGATATTTTACTTTGAGCACGTAATTTTAAAAGTTTTCATGTTAGTCACCAATTTCATGTGTTATATAATCTTTGTTATTATTCGAATTTGACTTTGATATTTGTAAATATGTCATTTTAGTCATTGATTAGGCATTTGGTTTAATTATTATATGGTTCTTTATATTTCTGTCTTACCCATTTTGGCCCATGAATTTATGTTTATTCCATTTTGGTCTTTTATGTTAATTGTTGATTTAAAATGTTTAATATACGTTTTAGGCTTTAGATTTTCCTCTATGTTTATTTTAGTCACTATCTTTAGTATAATATTTAGGATCTGTTAGTTTTATTACGTATTTGGTCCCTATTATTTTTCATTATTTTAATTTAGCCTTCTTGTCATTTTATTTCATATCAGTTTTATTATTTTGATTTAAATCATATTTTGTTTATTTATTCTATTTATGTTATTAATGTTTGTTATTAAATTATATACGCAACCTTGAATGTTTGTATAATGTTCATCTTTATATATTTATCATGTGTTAATTTATTTTATGAAATGTTCTTTTGTCAATATTACATGTATATATTATTTGATATTAAAAGCTTTAGTGGTTTATTCGAATAATTTCAAAGAACACATATGCGTAGAATGAGCGCGGAAAGTATCACTTGGTCGAAGTGATGCGATCCGATACGGTATTTTAACAAAGTGTGAATTTGAAATAAATCAACTTTATATTGTTAATTAATTCATCTCATATTTTAAATCTAACGACGCGATTTATGTTTCTCTAAGTAACAATTTATTTTATTTCACGCAAATGTTTATTTGCAATTTATATTCGATATACATCTTTTACATATTCGATGATAGAATATTCTTTAACAATGAAAAATAGTTGAAATAGCTTTCCCGGTGGAGGATTGCAAATTTCAAGATTTTTTATCGAGTTAAATGATTTTCTTTAAATAGTTAATTCGAAGTAAATTAATAAATGTTCGATAAATGGATCACATTTTAACTTTATATTCTACTCATAAATTCCAACATTTACGACAACTTGTAAGTGACACAGTACCAATTTAGGGCGTTGTGGGGTGCTAATCCTTCCCCACGCGTAACCGACTCCCGAATCCCGTTTTAATCGAATATTTGGTAAACGCAGACTGGCATTTTGTCTTAAAAATGATTTTTCTTAAAAATTGTTTTTAAAAGACGTTTTAGGTATTCGACCTACCTAACCCAAAGGTCGATAGCGACTCTATCCATTTTCATACAAATTAATTCAAAATCACCCAATTTTTCAAAATTAAAGTCATAATCGTTTTAAAAATAATATATAATTATTTTACGAAAAATGGTTATGACACCGTCTTTATAGATAAGCGCTATTATATCACTTCCGTATCATAAATAAAAGGAATGAGTTTCTTCATATTTTAAATTTCAAACTCGAAATCTATCTGTTCATTTCAAAATGATCGTTTGCATCAACTTGATTGAATCTCAACCTTTTAAGTTTAATTTTTGTTTTCCAAGTGGTTTCTGAATCACTTGCCCAAGATGCTAACTTAACATGCATACATGCGTGCACATAACCATTGAAATGCATTTGATTTAATTGTATCACTAAAAACTAAGAATTTGATTAGCTGATTATTGCATGAAACGGCATTTGTTAATTTGACTCGGTTTGCCTTTGCCAAGGCCTTTACAACGAGCACCTGGTGCTTCCCTATCCGACTACACAAACAACACCAGCACCATCAAAATGCAGTACACGTGATATAAAAACACAACATTAACATGATGGGATCCTTTACAAAGCAAAAAAAAAACATGCTCAATTAGATATTGAGCGACTGTTTCAGACAATGTTGCAGATAAAGTCTGCAAAGATGCAATCATATATCCTATAGTTACTCGGCCGGAGAATGAATCAGAACAAAGTTTCAGATTGTGAATGTTACAAGAGACACAGCAGATCCTGTGCAGGGTCGCATTCAGCATGTGTCTACAGATTTGTTTGCTGCTAGACTACTAGCGGCTACAGTCCATCGGTAGTTGGAACTCCAGATTCTGTAATATAACAATCTAACACAAAGTCACAAACAAGTTGAAATGGAATACTATGCTGTCAAATGTTTCATCCTAACATGAACACGTTTTCGAGATGAGAACCTCGTTTCACAAGAAGCATGATGTTCAAGAAAGCATTTAAAAAAACTAACACAAAATGATATGCAAACCACAAGATATGGTGAAGAACTGTTCATCACATTTCGAATGGATTTTTTAGATAGACATTTTATGGTTAAATCATCAATCAAATTTCCAAACACTTCACACCGACCGATTCCCACAGGAAAATAAAAAATGTAATCATAAACACATTTTAGCAGGTCTTCTAATTTGATAATACCATGAAAATCAAAGAAAAACTTTACGATTACAACATACAAAGCATATAAAAGATGTATTTGACGCATTGCCCTAAGAACAACTGTCACTGAAAAGAACTAGGAGTGCAACATGGTACAATATGTATGCTCCTCAATGCCACCTACCGTGTTCTATTTCTAAATTCGTATATCCAATGAAGAAGGCTCTCTCACCAACCATCCAAGTGAAGAGGAAGAGAAGGGAATTCTTTCTTCAAACAAACAAGTAAATTCTTTTATAGGGAAACAGAAATGCATATTATAATATTCATAAGCAGCATTGTCTAAGAAACAGATTTCTAAGGAAGATGGTTGTTCACTAACAATTAATTTCACAAATTAAAGCCTTCATGTTGAAATCAGGGAACAAACAAGCAAAGGCCAATAGGACCTCTTCCCATTATATCAGTGTAAATGATAACTGTTTAACAAGGTCTTATCATATATATATATATATAACTGTTTAACAAGGTCAAGTAGTATCCAAGCTGTCCAACCAACAAATACACTGGACTTCTACTTGTCTCTATCCACATCTACATTAATGATCAAGCGCCAATTGGTGCAGCACCACATTTATGCACAATAATGAAAAATTAAATGCACAATTAAAATTTGCAGAATCCATCACATGGTTAAGTAATTCAAACGAAATATAAAACAAGTAGAGAAGTGCCTGCAGGTAGATTGGCTTCCAGTCAAGTAAATCCCAAAAATAACATATACGACTCAATTGAATTAAGAACTGCAAATAAACAACAAATTTCTGATAATAAATACAAGTAAGAAAGAAAAGCATAAATTATGGTGACAAAACTTACTAATTGAACTTTTTTAGGCCTAAGATCGATTTATATTCGAGGTTAGTAACCCAGCAGCCACTAAACAACCCTACTAGCCACAAAACTTTCTCCTTCATCTGCCTCATTCGTGCACACAACTCATCAAAGCTTCTTTCTCTTTTGAGACTAATGCTTCATTCCTTCACCAAAAGTGTTGTTATTTACATCAGAGTAAAATCATACAATCTACAAACATCCCCTTCCATGAGGAAAACTGCAATACTATAGTATCGGATTAAATGGGAAAGAAAGGTTAACATAACATTGAACAGATGATACATTCAACCACCGTTCAATCCTCAAAATCCCATTCGCTATCCCTTCTCGACGACCTCCCGAACACTGAACTTGATCTACTTCTCCTTGTAAATCCAGAATCTGAGCCCGAACGTGATGAACTCCTAAATCTTCCAAAAAAAGAAACAAAATTCCGGAAAACACGTCCTAATCCTCTACTCTCATGTGACCTTCTCCCACTAGGCGCCCATGAAATCCTTCTAGGAGCACCCGCATTATTGAACCCACCATCCATCTCAGTAAACACTACGGGAAACTCCCTCTCCGCTGCTCTAGTCCCTCCAGTAAACCTCCCCACAGCAAACCCACCTCCCGGTAGCCTCCATATGGTTAATCCCACAGCTTCTTCATCTCTAACAGCATCGTTTTCCACTAAGTTATTTCCGTTATTTTCTGTTGGCAATTCATGGCGGCAAACAGGGCAAGAGTTCCGAATAGAAAGCCAAGGTAAAATACAATCTGAATGGTACATATGCTTACAAGGCATCTCCCGGGCTTCGGAGTGGAGCTCGAATGGCTCTTTACAAACTGCACAATGAGATTCCGATCTCACGTGGCTTCCTACGATTTTTATCACCGGCATTGATTCAATTGCCGCTTTGGAGGCAGGCGGATGATCGAGACGGCCAACTCCGTTGGCTTCTAATTGAGATAACTGATCAAGAATCCGATCAAAACCCGACCCCATTAAAAACTCCGACATACTAGCAGGCAAGGGACGAAGACCCGACCCGGACCCATCATCGTAATAAAGCTCGAAATTTCTATTACCTCTCTCGGTAACTATGCCATCAGCTTCGGAGGTTGGTCCACGTAGGACAACAACAGGGTTGAAAGGGGAGCGATCGCCAGCGTTCCGACGAGTGCGGCGGAATTGAGGAGTGGCGCTGGGGCTTGACGTGTCGGAATACATGGCGGCGGCAGGGAAACGATGGTGGATAGGAGATCGAGAGGGCGTTTCGATTTCTTCTATGAATCCTCCACCACAGTCGGGGCAGTTGAGCGAATCTTGGGGAGATCGGAGCCGGATCCGGATGAAGCGGTTGCAACTGTAGCACCAATAGGGAGATCTAATCGATTCCATAGAAATTAAACCCAAAAAAGATTATCAAGAAATTAAAACGTGGAAATTGAGAAATCAGAGAAATTTAAAAGAACCCGAGAATGAGAGAGAGAGAGAGAGAAAGAGGAGAGAGGGAGAGAGAGATATGATAAAAGGAAACAGGATGCGTCATGCGTGGAAAATTCAACGGTATAAGCGCGTGGTTGTTACGCTTTCAATTACATCTTTAACGGAGTTCGATTGCTTCTTGAGTTGTATTGTTAACGACGTTAGTGATCTCATAGGAGAAGAGCGCGATGGCCCTTTAGTTGAATGGAAAATTGTACTTTTGACCAATAATTCAATTTAGTCCCTTATGATTCCTCTCTTAATGGAAAATTGTACTTTTGACCCTTCTAAAATTGAATAATTAATTAGACCCAAATGTTTTAAAGTTAACATAAAAATTTAAGAACCAATTTGTTTTAAATTAAAAATTTTAAATTTTAACTCAATAGAAAGATTAAAACCATAACTATGTTGAAATTATTTTAACAAAAAATATTTATAAAAGAAATAAAAAATTTAATTACACGTTTAATACCCTAATTATTATTTTTGTTCTGTTTCGATCACCTAAGTATTTTTTGTTTAAAAATTACACTTAATGTTACTTTTTAGTTTCATTTTGATCATCAATCGTTAAAAAATTAACAGTGATGGTAATGTGTTACCATAAGATAATGTCATATCATCATTAAAAAATTAAAAAAAATATAATGTCAGCATTTTTTTTAATTTTTTAACGTTGAGTGATAAAAGTGAAATTAAAACGTAATATTTAATATGATTTTGAAATAAAAAATAATTGAATAATCAAAACGGAACAAAAGTGATAGTTGGAGTACTAAACTTGTAATTGGTCGGCATCGACAAATTTCGTAGGCGCCGCCGCGGTAGCGCTTTCCGCCACTTTCTAGTTTCAAAGGAAAAGGTCGCCTAGAATTTTCGCTGAAATTCTCTAATTAAAGGAAACTCATCTCAGTTCATCGGATTCTCTTCTTTAATTTATCTTCAAAAGAGACGAAGGTACCGGTTTAGTTAGCATAAGAAACTATGGCTACCCAACTGGGATGGATTGCTGAAATGGAGCATTGCTAACTCTGATGGAACTCATCCTGATCATAATTTAAGGTAAGCCCATATTTTTTTCTCAGTGACCCTTTATTTCTGATCGTTAATTGATAATTTAGTGGGTTATTATTTGTTTATTTTTGCTATCTAGTGAGGAAGACAGAAGATGGTTTATGGAAGCAATGCAATGGCAGACCGTTGATGTGATTCAGCGGATGAAAGATGTAACTTTGGTTATGCACACTCCAGAGCAAGTATTGGAAGCTCAAGGAATTACGGCTTTTTTCTTCTGGGGTTTATGAGTAGCTTTTTATGCAATCTGATTTGAGGGTGGCAGATATGTTGGATGAGTTGCAAGAACATGTTGAATCTATTGACATGGCCAATGGTAAGGTTTCTCTGTCATTTTTGATGTTATATATCTTCAGTGTTATAGTTTTTGGCTGCTTAGGGTTTGATTGTATGCAATGAGAATACTATTTATGTTTCATGGGATAAGTAATTCCTGTGGATGCTACCAATGTTGGAATCAATATTTCCATTTTAGGGAACTTGTTGCTTCATATAGCCTTTTCGTTTCTGGTCCCGATACTGTTTCTGCTCAAATCAGTCTTGCACTTTTAATCTTTTCAATTGATCCAAAACTATATATACTTATACGGTCTGTGTGCGCTTGAGGCAGATTTGCACTCAAAATTGGTGGTTTGGTTCCTCTCGGTTATTTGAAGAATTCACATACCAACATTCGAGCAAAAGCTGCAGAAGTTGTATCCACTATTGTACAGAATAATCCCCGGAGTCAACAGTTGTTATGGAAGCAAATGGCTTAGAGCCTCTCATTTCCAATTTGTCATCTGACCCTGATGTAACTGTCCAGCCAAAGCACTTTATGCAATATCTTGTGGGTACAATTTTCTGTAGTATACTTCTTAATCAGTGAACATGCTGGTACAGAAAATTTAAAGTATTTTGATGTGACATCTTTTTTCATTGGATTTCAGCCTTGATTCGCCACAACAAACCTGGTATTGCAGTATTTCGACTTGCAAACGGTTATGCTGCCTTGAGAGATGCTTTGGGAACTGAGAATGTAAGATTTCAAAGGTAAACTTCAGATCAGTCTTTGCAGTTCAATCCTGCATTATAATTCTGTCGATAATAGGTATTTTGGTTGCATTTGAAGATGTCTCCAATGTGAAAATAAAATGATTTCTAAATATTAAATAGTTACCTACAGTTCAATGTTCCCGTGTTTATTATTTTATCGCTTGTATCCCTACTGGTTTTCTAATTTAATTGCCTTTTTTCTTCCAGGAAAGCCTTGAACTTGATTCAATACCTACTGCATGAAAATCCATCAGATTGCAATGTTATGAGCGAGCTGGGGTTTCCCCGCATAATGATGCATCTTGCCTCTAGTGAGGATGCAGAAGTAAGAGAAGCTGCTCTTCGTTGTTTCCTTGAGCTTGTTCAGGACAAGACTGGTGGGAACAATGGTGGTCTAGGCGAAGACAACGAGAAGCTGAAGCAAATTCTTGAAGAACGAGTTAAAGCTATCAGTTTGATGTCTCCTGAAGACCTAGGTGCTGCCAGGGAGGAGAAGCAGCTTGTGGACTCCCTTTGGAGCATGTATTATAAGGAGATTTCTTCCCTTAGAGACAATGAACTTTTAGCACTTCCTGGTGAAGATGAGCCTCCTCCTGATGTTGCCAGCCAGCATTTTGAGCCTCCTCCCCGAGGTTGGGCTCGAACCAGCGATTCAAACTCCAGTGTGAAAAAGCAGGATGCTCCTCTATTATTAGGACCAAGCCCTTGAAACTGATGGTCTCAATTGTTTAGGTGCCAGACTGCCAGTAGAACAAGTCAACTGAAGCTGATGTTGGGAAATCTTCACATAAAGCCCTAGGCACATCCTGATAAAATTAGCACTAGATTTGTTTATTTTGGCATGTTTTTCAGAGTTGTTTGTCCTGTTGATCACTGTTACATATTTTTAATTTAATATATGATTTTCACTGGGTATACATTCATATCTTGTCCATTGGCTTAACTGGAAAATTATACCATGTTGCACATATATCCAGCCGACACGAGTTTGGATAACTTAAGTTGTGACAACAACCGAGCCATTGTTAACCAAAATTATACTTGTATCAGAAGCAGAACTTAACATGCATCATTGTTAAATCTATTAATTGAGCAAGATACATTTTAAAACATAGGGAGAATTAATATTTCCATCCATTTCATTATTGACAGATCTTCGTACTCCTAAGATGAAGGGAAGACATTAACTGATCCATCTGCTTTTGAACTAATAACTATCGGTAGAAATCATAAAAAGCAATCTATTTGCGGTGGCGTCGACTTCCTAACACTGCAACGGCGTCGAGCTTGTTACTTCTTTGTCATTGCTCATTTAGGAGGGCAGAAAGTGATAACATAACGTGACGCTCTGCATTTATTTAGGCTGCTAGTGTCATCAAAAGCATAGCTATAAGCCTTTGGGCAGATAGCCTTGAAGAGGTGTGCAAAGAGCGTCGGCTTGCAGGTCTTCGGATTTGCATACTCCCCGGTGCAGCAATATTTAGCTGATTGCATGGCCAGGCAAGCACTCTTGCATCCTATTACCGTGGCACCTTTCTTCACTTCCAATGCTGAGGGGCAGCAAACGTTCAAATCAACTTCGCACGATGCAACTCCGCATCCGATTCCTCCCCCGACCGGTTTCATTGAAACCGGCAAATTAAAGCCATCAACCAAACTAACATCGTAGAAATGCAAAGGTGAAGAAGATGAGCCGAGAGTCATTTCTATCACGGTTGCAGGCGGTACACCGCCCGTTCCTTGGCACTGAAGCCTTCCAGAGCAGTCACCGGTATCACAAGAACCCTTTCCATTACTGTCGAAATGACAACCTTGCCTGCCCCATATCCTCCCTGACCACTTCTGTGGAACGTCTAAAACTACTTCTTCACCGCTACCAAGATGGAAGCCGCCATTTTTAGGACTGGACCGACCTGCACCGCCAAGTATCCCAGGCCAAATGCTTTCCCTGCAGTTGTTCACTAGTATGACTTGCTCCCCATCTGCAATGGACACCCAAAAGAAAATCCTTAACATAAAACGTATAGCTATCATGCAAGAACAAGCCAATAACAATGTCCCATGTACCTGCAATGGAGGAAAATGCTAACAGATATAGGAAGAGCAAAAAGAAGATTGATGAAGCTGCCATTGTCAAGTTTTCGAATTTGACAACGATAGCAATGGACAACGACCGGCTTTTAACTTGAATGGCTAAGGGAAAAGGAAATCTCTGCAGCTGCATCCCCAGGTGTCCTTTTGCTTTCTTTTTCAACTCTCTTTTTCCACTTTGATGATAAATTGGCATATATCCATTGCTTCAAATCAGGGCTTTCTTTTTACCTTCCAAAAATATATATATAAATCTACTTCTTTAGGATCAGAGCTTTAGCAGTGGTAGCCTCAACATGCATAAAATTGTCTACTAGGAATATCATACCATGTGAGCTGAAACTAAAACAACAAAAGTCGAGTCTTGAGAGTATTCCGATTCCCAGACAGTGCTAAAAAAGAAGGCTTGCAAATTGCAATTAAAATACCCTGAAATAGTATTATAAGTTTAGAACAACAATTAAAGAGAAAAGTGCAAGGGAATTCAGGAGATGTGATATGATTATGTTTGTTGCTTTCTTAATCGTGTGGTTTAAGGTTTTTTTTATTGCAATTAAAGCTTGATTGAGATAAACAGGAAAGGTATCACTTCTATGGCTTTATAGGATAGGTAAAACAGGCATTTTCTGGATTTGGAATTTTTCTAGATGGATATGCATGGATAGATGGATAGTTAGAATCAAATACTATTGAACTAAGATCAAATATTGATTGGTAAACCGTCTAACTCGATTATGTAATAGAGGAACCTCAAATATTTATCAAGATCATCAACTCATGTGAGTTGATAACCACAGCTAATGCCAACGAGAGCCTGGTTCCTTTCGTTTCTTTAAATTTCTTAATCATCTTCTACCCTAATCCTTCTTATCTTCCGACGAGAATCCATCCCAATATGAAGACCTAGATTTAGATATATTAGACACCCAAGTTCATCATTCTTCGAAATTGATTTGGGTCTTGGTTCATAAGTTTTGACGAGGGGAGGGGAATGATTTGAGTTATAGAATTGATGCGTTTTCTTAGTATAGTATGTGGTAGTATATGGTGATTATAAAGTAGTATTTGATCAGAGTTTTTTTTTTTTAAATAAACGGTATTTCTTTAATTAAACATAGCATCAGAAGTAACAATTGCACCATTACAATCTGGACTTACAGACTAAAGAACTAAAGGCACGGGTGAAATGGAAACATAGTAAGTGCGTCAGCTGCTCCATTTGCCTCTCGTCGAACGAACCGGACTGATATATGAGGGTGAGAATCGAAGAGTTGTCATGGAACCGGATGACAGAACGATCAGTGGCTGGATTCGCAAGCTGTTAGACCACGTTCAACGAATCACTCTCAACGACAGCAGCCGAAAGCCCCATCTCCACCGCCAAACGGACGCCATGGTAAATGGCCTGAGCTTCAATGATACCAGCAGTAGGATAATCTGCAACAGGGAGAGCACGACCTGCAACCACCGCACCTGAGCTGTCACGAAGAAGAAATAGCCGAGGAAGCAGGAGGACGAGGACATGCGTCATCAACATTTATTTTGATGGTACCTAATGGAGGTTTCATCCATCGACGAGGATGCAAACCAGAGGAGACAGTAGTAGCAAAAGATGCCGAAGAAGCTACAGCGGTGAAGTACGCCGATTGGAGTGTAGCACCTAAAGCAATCAGTTGCCAACTGGGTAGCAATTGACCTCCATGGAAGAAAAGATTCCTGCAATGCCAAATTTTCCGAAGTAAAACCAAAGGAGCAATAAAACGAGGAACCGATAACGTATTCATCAACTGCTCCCACCAAGGATTCAAATAGCGGTAGCGATGCGTTTATCGCGGACATAACGGATGCTATTACGATCATCACGGATATCGCGGACGTAATTTTTTTTTTAAATTATCATAACTTATTATAAAATATAATAATTATAATTATAGAAAACCAATTTTAATGATTTTGAGTATTTTGTAACACTTACTTTGATTGAAAATCACTTTTTTTAATCATAATTATGTTGTTTTACTTTATACACACTTGGACCAATCCAATCCCTATTTGCATTTAATTTAACTTGGAGATTGCCCATCGGTCATAGACTGTGCTTCTTTTCTGATAACTTTGATAGAGGGTTCTCCTCAGAGGAATTTTTAGAAGGCTTCAGATCTGAATCATAAACCACAGTCCTGGTAACCCGTCCAGAGGATTAAATGAATTATCCGAGAATCCCAACTGTGTTACTCCAACTTCGAAACTAATATTCCCTACCAAGGCTCGACCACCTCATTGATCTTTCCCCTTAGTGAGTTCAAGACCAGAATATAAATTTTTTTACACTCACTTTAGTTCAAGTTTTCGCCATACGCCTCAAAACTTCACCATAGCTCTGCAAGATTCTTCAATGTAACATCATTACAGCACTGTAACGCAACTCAGAGAACTCTAGTCATGTTGATCTTTGCATCTGACTCAAAATTTCTGACCAATGAGTTACCTCTACAAAGATCTCTTTAAGGTACAACCACTGCAACTCTTCAAGAGTTAGATATAGATCCTCGTCTGCAATAGTTAGTAAGAATGTCTTTCCTCCCATTCTTTGAATCTTTATATATGAATTGTCATTATTTTTTTTTGAAGTAACTGTATTGTTGGTGATATTTGATGTTGTAACGGGGATTAATAAAAAAAACAGTTTGTTATAACCACGATCGATCATTATTCGTTAAATTACGGCTGTTATCGGCTATTATGGGTGTGATTCTATTTCACACCGTAATTTCGACCAATATTAATAATGGGCCCACTGATACCGCGATATAACACGGCTGTTTTTTAAAATCCTGCCAATCACCGAAAGGCGAGAAAACCATGGGATCAAATGCAAACAAATAACCAGCCTCCGCTAAGATTGGAGAGACAGATGGGAAATCACGCAGTGCATGAGAAACAGTCTCCTCCGCCGAACATAAGCAAGATGACAACCAACAGGAAGGACCTTATGAGCAGCCCTCCAGCCAAACATACGGACCTGAGGGAGCATGGGTAAACAGGATAGGTAAAGGCGAAAAGCCATAACCTGAAAACTTGAACGTCTGTCGATTGCTGGCGGACTACACATTTATAGCCAGGACGGACGGAATAGGCACCGGATGAATGAGGGCTCCATAAAAGCGCATCAGAATGAACTGGAGAGATAGGACACTGTAAAATCGCTTGAGCATCATCATCAACAAAAACTTGCTGAATCAAAGGAACATTTCAGTGGGGCACATCCGACACCATAAAATACCCCCAGAGTATCAGCTGAGAAGTACCATCAACATATTAAGATTGAAGATTAACTCGATGAAGACCACCCCAGTTAACACGGTGCAAAGGAACCGTATTATTAATACCCACCCGCCAATAAAAACCGGATCGTAATTCTTGAATGGCAAGTAAACAAACGTCGCCAAGCAAAAGAAGGCTGATCGCCAAGAGAAGCTTCTAGAATGTGACTCGTGGGGAAATACTTCGCAGCCAAAAGCCGAGCCACCAGACAAGTTGGGTTAATTAATTTATCGAATTTTTTTAATTAATTAACAATACACACATCTTACAAACTTGATGAATTTTTTAATTACTTTTGTTGGTTAATATACGAGGAGAAAAATTAATTATTAAATTTTAACTTTATAGAGAGATTAAAATTATAATTATACATAACATGTAAGAGATTCAATTAAAGATTATTGTAAGTCAAGTCAAGTCGAATATTTTTTTTATTTCAACTTACTCGTAATTTTATATCTTCTATTTGTCACTTAATCTAATTTAAATTTATAGAGGTTTCATTAATTCAATTTTCGGTATAAAATCTTGATACAATATATATATATATATAATTTCATTTTTATTTGATAGAATAAAAATCTAATTAAAAAACATATAAAGAATGATATTATTACAATTATTTATAAATATATAATAAATAATTTTATTATTGTATGAAATTAATTTTTGTTTTGTCTTAAATCTAAATTCCACTTAACTTTATCATCTAAAAATTTCATTCGACCCAAATTTTTTTTTCCAAAAAAAAAATAAATCTCATACAATAAAATCAGATTCGAATGTTACACCTATGATATGTTACTTGCGTGAAGGAGAAGAAGGTTCCATTTTTATTTTCGTATGGTTTTCACTTTCTACTCCCAACTCCCCAGGATAAACTAAAACCCTTCTGATCGTCAAAATTAGGGTTTTGGCAACCAATATACGATAAGCAGCACAGATGATTCACGCTGCAGTTAAGCTATCAAGATCGGTCATTTCCCTCTCTCGAACTTCCCGACGGGCTGCAATCCCCTGCAGAACTTCATCGCAGCCGTTGAGACTCCTCCACGATGGAATCAAAGGTCCCGGTTCCAATCCAGTCGCTGTTCAGATGATCAATTACGCTCTCTCACATGCCAGGTCCCAGAAATCAGGTTTATACTTTCACCCATTTAGCTAATGTTCCAAGTTCTGGACTGATGACAATTAAGTTTCTACTTTTTTTACTGTTCTTCGTGCAAATTTGATTTTCCTAAGTGGATGATTTTGGTAGATGAATCATTTGCTCAAGGCATGTTGATATTGGAGCAGTGTCTTTCAATTCAGTCAAGTGAAAGTGAAGGTCAATACACTCAAAACTCTGTTGGAACGGTGTTACTTGCAATGTCTAATTTATTATATGAAAGGTGATTCTTCCTTGTTTTCTTTTTTTTTTTCTGTCCCGTTTTCTATTTTTAGATTAGGAACTGATGATGGTTAATTTTACTTTTAGAGGAAGTATTGAAGAAGCTATCGGAAAGTTGCATAGAATTCAGGAATTAACCCATTCCTCCTTGGGCGTTAAAGGTAAAGTTTTACTGTTTCATTTTCCATTTCTGTTTAAAATTCCACTGCTTAAAAGGTTATTCACTAATCTGGTATTTGCTATAGTTGCTGCAACAGAAGCTCTTGTTGGTCTCTATTTACAGTTGGCCCAGGTATGTGAATCCTTCCATTACTATTTTTAGCTTAATCGAATGACATGTGGCATATATGATTCCGATTTATTTGGGGATGGTTCTCCTTTATATAGGATGATACTTCATCAGTTCTCGCAGATAAATGCTTAGAGTTTTTGCATAAAGAAGATTTAAAAAGTAATGGTGGAAACGAAGAATCTTTGATTGCTCGTGCTAAAGCAGTGAAGGGGCTAGTTGAGCTTGTCGCTGGTAACCTTGAGTCAGGTAAAGTAAAGGTGTCGCCCAAGTTTTGGTCCATTGTTTTGTTGTCTTATTGATTTGTGTAATTACTTAATGTGAGCTGCATCTGAACTGCAGCTGAAACATTTTTCCATGGAGTCCAATATAATGGAACTTGGAATGGTGAGGATCTTTCATTTTATCAGTTGCTAATTCACCGTAAAAGAGACTTGTGTATAATATTTGCTGTTGGACAATTCAGACACTGCTGCTTTATCATATGGAGAATTTCTACATGCTACACAAAAGTTTTCTCAGGCCAAAGAATTATACCAAAACGTAATTGAAGGAGTGCCCAAAAGTGACGATTTTAGTGACATGAACACCTTGGCAGTTTGTAATATGGCTCCAGATGAAGTTTTGCTTGCTGCAACCTTTGCCTTGGGGCAACTCGAGTCACACATGGGGTGATTTTATGGTTATTTGTTCATGTCTTTGTTTCCTGATCTTTTCCAACTCATCTTTCTCATCAATGTCTGCAACCTGTAATTCAGGAATTTTGGTGCTGCAGAGGAGATATTGACAAAGGCACTAACTAAAACAGAAGAGTACTTTGGTGTGTAAATTTGGATTTGTATTTATCTACAAAAAATAAAATGTTGTAGGCTTTTGAATGGTTCTGCTTGTTAATTGCATCATAATTTGCCCTCTGATTTTTTTGATTTCTTTCAGGCTCTAATCATCCAAAGGTTGGTGTTGTCTTGACCTGCATAGCTCTCATGTTTCGGAACAAAGCAACACAAGAGCGTTCAAGCTCTCTTTTGATTCAAGAGGTCAGAACTTCCACCTTCTGTATTTAATTAAGGCATTAGTCTATATTTATTTATCTGGTTTTGAAGTTTTGCATGGTTTTGTCAGTTATAGGATACTGTTTTTGCCAGTGATAAAAGGAGAAAAAATAGAATGGCTTCTTATTAGAGAGGTTTATTTATTTATTTATTTTGAAGTTTCTGATTATAGAGGTTTGAATTTAAAAGAGGAATATCTGTACGTGTGGTACAACCAATCCCAGTTACTGAAAATTATTGACCTCTTTTAAATGAACTGCCTCGTTATATTTGAGTATTGGAGTTTGCATGTATACTGTCTTGCATCTTAGGATCCTAGATGGCTATAGATTAGTAGAGGAATGTCTTTATGGCTGATCTATATTGCTTAGGATTAAAATTTGGGTTGAGACAATTATGATGGTGATTCCTTTCCCCGAGTTATTTGTAGCCCATTGTTCGAATCTATTTCAGAGCTTAAGTCGGGTATTGATTCAATAATTTGTGGTTGGCAGGGACTTTACAGACGGGCAATCGAGTTTCTGAAAGCTCCGCCATTGGAGTCTAAAGGTTTGGAATATTAGAATATTTCTGTTTCCTGGTGTTTAAGCAAATGAATAACTGTTTCCCCTTTTCATTTCTTTGGCGCAGAGACAAAACTGGACAGAGGGGATATTTTAGCTCTTGCAAGAGGTATGGTCTATTGTTTCACATCTTTCTGTTCCGGGTGGGGAATTAATAATCTGAGAATTATATACCCTAAAAATTGGCGTGACACGGCTAGCATTTAATACAAACACAGCTGCAGCATATCATATTAATCGAGTATTGTGCAATGCCAACAAAAAAAAATTATGTTCATGCATAGTGCCCTGCAGTAACCAGGTCGGCTGGTTGTGCTTTGTTCAGGTGGGTATGCAGAAGTACTTTGTGTTCAACAGAACAGGAAGACTGAAGGTGAGAAAATGAAGACATGGGCAGAAGCTGTATGGAGTAATCGTCGAATGTCACTAGCTGATGCATTAGACATCTCAGAGCCTTCAAGTAGGGTGCCAGTTATAGATGCTCGAATTATCCGAGTGCTGTAGATCATCTTCAATTCGTTTGAATGTGGCAATCATCTATGCTTTTGTTTATATGCATTGACGAATAAATGTGCTAAACTTTGGAGCCTCTGTAACAATTATATGACCTCCATCAATTATATGACCTCCATCACATCCAGGGCTAGGAATGTACTTAGATTAGTTATGTTAGAATATCCTTGGCAATAATTCACATCAGCAGATAGTCAGATGATGATGCTGGTGTGCAATAGAAGAGAAGCATCTGTAAACTATTATATCCAAATTTAATGAGATATGACCCTATCTTCTAGGGTATATACTATAAAAACTCGTGATTTAAAAAATTAGATTGTACAGTAAAAACTGAGAATTTGCAGTTTGATCACAGGTGAAGAAGAAATATTTCATATGTAAAGTGTTCAAAGTTTATATATTTGGGGTACGTAATGTGTTCTTGTCTCCATGGATTGACTCTCTACAGAGGAATATCAAGACCTTTGCCAACATCTACCCCAATCGTCTGAAGTATTCCCTTGTTTAGTATCTGCAAAAACCAAACACCAACACCATAATGCCAATGGCCGATACAAAAAATAAAAAGGAAAGGTAGAAAGCATACCAGTTCTACAATGAAAACACCAATTATGCCAATCATACAGGCCCTGGAATTCCATATTTCAGCTACCCTAGTAAACCCCAGAAATGGTGCTTGGAATTTTGGCTCCACTTTTGGCACTTCAACCTGAATCATTATTTTTAAGGGAAACAAAGTTTTTATGAGAAAAAGAGAAAAAAAACCAGAAATATATGGAATATAAGATGAATCAGAACCCATAAAAGAGAACAGAAACCAAGAAAGTACCCCAGCGGGAAGCTTGGCAGCTAGGACCTTGAAGGGTGCTCGGTTCCTGAAGCTTGTGGTGTTATGTTGCTGCCGATTCTGGCGTTGAATTGTTAAGGGTTTAGTGGGAACAAGAAACGATGAGGAAATGAGTGAAGAAGCAGCCATTGGTTTCAGTCTGCAGCCAAATCCAAAAGCTATCGTGTGGTTTATCTGTGCTCTTATCTGCATCAAAGCTTTGAAGCCGGTGGGTCCCCCAGGAGTAGAGCTTGTGGTTGTGGTTGTCGGGCTATGTTTTACTAACGGTTCTGGAGCTGACAACTCATTGCGGTTCGAACAAATTATTCGTGGAATGCTACAGAGCATAAGAAGTAGGCGATTTGATAAAACTGACATTTTTTAATCGAATATCTCTCTTCTTAGTACCATTTATTTTATATTTTTTAAAGTGATACCCTATCGGTTGAGGTGGCGAAAGGCACATTTTCGGGGACGCGCTTTACCTGGTTTTACGCTGAGTTAGATGTCACGTGTGAAAAGCGCATCCCCTAAGACGCACTTTACCTTTATTTTATTGATTCACTTGTCACGCGATATTTTTTTTAATAATAAAAATTTTATTTTTATTGTTATTATAAATTAATAATATATTATGTAAATTGTTTCAGTTATAATTTAATAATTATCGAATGTATTTTTTTAATGTGTGTTAAAGGTGGAGTGTATTATCCACATTAATCGGATAGAACAACAGATGAAAACTAGTTTTTATTTTATTGTAGTTATATGAAAAATGTATAAAATTATTATATTACACGTATGGTTATATTATTATTTTTTATTTTGATTATCGATCTATTATTTTGATCACTTAATTATTTAAATATTATCAATCTAGTCATCTGTTATTATTATTTAACAAAAATATTGATACATAAGTTAATAAAATTAGTATAATTATACATTTAATCTGTTATTATTATTATACATTGAGAAATTATAGAAAATGTAATTACATTTAAATATTAAAAACAAAAACATTCATTTAAATAGAATACTAGGTTACATAAGGGTTAACGATTATGTGATGATAATAGAGCTGAACATTTTTTTCTATTGTGTCCGATGTTTCTACAATGCCCACATCGTTTTTGTTCTGTTGACTTCTCCCGAATATCCATATCACAATGTATTCTAGTAGATTTTGGACGACCTGAGTCCCTCAATAGAAATAGATTTGGTACAATTGTAAGCCAAGTTTGAATCTCATCTAGGTCTCTTTCGTTTCCTATGGGTGGAAACTCAAATTCATATACCTTAAATACTTGTGAAAGTTGGTATACGGGATCAACATAATTTTTGTAGTCCAAATGCGAATGTGAGCAAGCTGCAATGACATGAGAGCATGAATATTTGAGTGCTTGAAAGAAACCACAATCGCACCACCTCTCATGCAAATTAACTTTGAAAGAGTTAGCTTTAATCCTTTGCAGCGGACGTGGCATTTCGGTTACACGAAACAATTCACGGGTGCGAGAAAAATTTGTAACCAACATCCCATTTGATGCAACCACTTTTTTCTGTAAATCAGCTACTAGTCTTGGGTGGTAAATATGGTCGTTTTGCATCCAAGTAAGAGCTTGTCCACCGAGCTTTGCAAAGAGTTGACCCAAACGAAAATAAGTCGTTTTGACCAATGCCGTGACTGGTAAATGACATGCCCCCTTTAAGGTTGAATTTATTGCTTCAGTCAAGTTTGTTGTCATATGACCATAGCGATACCCCCCGTCATACGCCTTTGTCCACATTTCTTTGCTGATGTCCATAATGTACTAGCACCCCTTCTTATTTTTGCCAAACAACTCTTGTAGCATCGACTCAAACCTTTGAGGTAAGAGTTCGTAACCTAAGCCATTAGGAATATGTAATAGTTAATATGAAGTATAAATAAGTAATACGAAAATGATAGAAAAATTGGGGAAAAGTAACATACACATCCGCACGACTAATTGACGTTTATCGTTCTTCTTGTATTTTCCGTAATAGTTTGCAGCAATATGACGGACACAATAACGATGTTGAACATGTGGAGGTCTATACATTGTACCCAAAGAGTCCATTGTTGCTTTTATCTCGGCTCCTCGGTCTGAAATAATGCATACTCGTTCCCTGGTGACAACATGTAAACGTAAATTTTTAAGGAAAAAAGCCCAAGACTCAGTGTCTTCTCCTTGAACGAGGGCAAACGTAGCGGGAAGAATATTGTGGTTTCCATCTTGGACCACAACCAATAATAAAACTTGCTTGTATTTTCCATACAAGAAAGTACCATCAATTTGGACAACTGGTTTACAGTACTTGACTGCATTAATACACTGAGGGTAAGTCCAAAAGACAAGGTAGAATTGGCAGCGATCACGAACCACTCGATCATTCACGTAATGATGTTGAGTTTCGAACTCAACAATTTTCCCGGGATTGAGTCTTTGCACAACATGAAACCAACTGGGCAACTCGTTGTAAGATGAATCCCATTCGCCATGAAGTTTGCAAATGGCATTCTGTTTTTCCAACCAAGCTTTTTTATATGAGACGGTTTACCCATATTGTGACTGTATAGCAGAAATCAACACTGCAACAACTATATGAGAGCTTTGCTTCACAATGGGCATGATTGCTTGGCAAATAATGTTGGAGTCCAAGTTGGGATGATCCTGGTTTATACCTCTTGGACAACACGTATGAGGACCGTTGTATCTGGTTAGTTCCCATAAGTTGTTCTTCATCTTCCTCTTTGATACACGAACCATCCATTGACATCCGTTGTCATGTTGGACGCAGTAGCAGACATATTTCTCTGTGTTAGATTGGTCAACTCGAGACTGAACTGAGTTACGAATATTGTAACTCTTTATTGCCATCATTGCTTCCTCCTTCGATGCGAACTTCATTCCAATATGTAAATCACCATCATTAACTGTTGATTAAAGTCCATAGTTGCCAACATCAGGAAGATCCAAAAATTCGGGCTCATACATTGCATCATAATCAGCCTCATACATATGTGCAGGAAGTTCGGCTGGTGTTGTATTTATCGGAACGTCATCCTCGTCATCATCAGAATGTACGTTAAATTGTGGTGAGTCAGGTTCAACGAATAATCCCGTTTCAGTACCATCTGCACCTGGCTCCCGAAGAGGTTCTTCTGGTGGAGATGATGGTTCCTCCGATAATCTAATATTGAGGTCAAATAAGTTCCCGCTTGTGTGTCCTCCCCTTGAACTGAGGCCATTGTATCTGTAACATCCCAAATTACGGGTTAGTGACCAAATCGTAAATTTTCAGAATTTGGTGATTAAAGTTGTCGTAACCGGTTTTCGTCCGGGCACGAATTTTTTACTTGGCGGGAAAAATAATGTGGATACAAAATAATTAAAAAAATGGTTTGGGAGTCGTCATCGACCTTTTGGGTCAGGTAGGTCGAATACCTAAAAATTACATTTTAAAAGAGTTTTTAAGACAACATCAGTTAAAAGATAAACTGATCTGCGTTTAACCAAAAATTCGTTCTTTTTAGAAATAAAAAGGGATTCGTGGTCGGTTACGTTTAGGGAAGGATTAGCACCCCTACAACGCCCAAAATTAGTACTTTTTAATTATAAATTGTCTCTATTATTAAAAATTCAAAGATATATTTAATTTATAATCATGTTATTTATAATTTAAAGAATATATATATATATATATATATATATATATATATTATATATTTAAATAACATATTTATTTATTTAGAAATATCAGAAAAGGGTTTCTAGGTACTTTAAGACAGCTCTTTCTTTTGATATTAAAAAATAATAATAATAAATTATTTTAATATAGTAAGATATTTATTTATTTAAAAATATTAGAAAAGGGTTTCTAGTTGTTTTAAGACAGCTATTTCCTTCAATATTTAAAAATAAATAAATAACTAAAACATAATAATAAAATAAAATTAAACATATCTAGTTCATAAATAGGATTTTTATTTAATAGAAAACAAATAAAATAAATAAATAATTAATATTTATTATATATATATTTATATGACTAAGATAATAATAAAATAATAATTAAAGCAATAATTGAAAAATAAAAGTAATAATATTGTAAATAAATAATGATTAAAATAAAATAAATTAAAAATATAGTGTTAAAATGTAGATATTTAACTTAGTACTCTACTTCAAAATATCATAAAATCCAGAGTCCTACAGTGTAATTTAGCCTTAATAATATATACAGGATTAAAATAAAATTTATTAAAATTACCAGGGACTAATTAGGTATTTACTGTAAATATGTATAATTATGGGTAAGGACTAAAATGTAAAGAAAATAAAATTTAAATACCGAATTGAAAGGCTCAATAATTGATTTTAGTGACCAAAGTGTAAAGATAAAAACATAGAAAGGTCACGGAAAGGTTTTTACCCTTGATGGTAATTACAGAGATACCCCTCCCCAAAATGACGTCGTTCGGGGAGGGGTTTAAATACCCATTAATTGGCTGAGAATGGCTTTAAGCCTTTCATTTTCTTCTTTCCTTTTTCTCTCTAAAAAGAGAGAAAAAAATTCTCTCTGCCTTCACAGATGAAGGAAATCGACCAACCGCCTTGCTCTGGCGCCAGCACCACCGCCGGCCACCGTATCCGGTGGCCGGAAATTACAAAACCCCCTTAAATCGAAGTCTCTATTTTTCTATACCCGAATCTAAAGTTTTTTTTAACCTAAACTCTTACCAATCGTTGTAGATCTAGGATCTTTTTCTTAAACGTTTCGATTTCTGGTGGCTCGTAGAGGCTCCTCGGTGGTAAGTTGTTGTGTGTCGTTTGGCTTCTTTTCTCTTAGTTGCTCTCGTGGTTCTCTGTTTTTTTCTGTTCTTTTTTGTTGTTCTTGCTCTGTGTCTGCTCTCCTTTGCAGGTTCGGTGGTGGCTTTTATAGCCACCACAGTGTCTTCTTCGGACCGGATAATAGGGCAAAGTTCCGTGAGTCACCAAACTATAGTGGTGACTCACTCTAGACTTCAACGTGTGCGGCTGCTCTGAGTCTTCTGGAGTCTTCGTCGGAGGCGTGGCACTGGTGGAGCGTCGGCAGTGGCGTTGGCATTCTGGCTTGGGAAGTGTCGGCAGCGTCGATTGGAGTTCTTGGAGCGGCGGCTGGAGCTGAGAAGTGTGAAACCCTAGTTGGGTTTAGGGTTCTGTTGGGCTAGCTGATCGGGCCTGTACTGGATTGGACCTCTGATGTAATTTGTAATATATATATTTAATAAATAATAATAATAATAATATATTATATTAATAATAATTATAATTATTATTAAAAAAATTAATGTCTACAGCTGCCCCTCTTTGCTCATTATTGTGTTAACAAGAATAGAGTAAAGACGAAAAAGACAATAATTTTTTCATTTGGCCTCTATTGAGTAGGATGAAAATGTTTGAAAACATCATGCACTGAAGGGCTTACAGATGACCCGAAGGTTTTTGAAAACATCAAAAAGATCCCAAAGGCTTTTTGGAAACATCATGCACTGTAGGACTTACAGATGACCCTAAGGCTTTGAAGACATCAAAAAGCTCCCGAAGGCTTTTTGGAAACATCATGCATTGTAGGACTTACAGATGACCCTAAGGCTTTGAAAACATCAAAAAGCTCCCGAAGGCTTTTTGGAAACATCATGCACTGCAGGACTTACAGATGACCCTAAGGCTTTGAAAACATCAAAAAGCTCCCGAAGACTTACAGATGACCCTAAGGCTTTGAAAACATCAAAAAGCTCCTGAAGGCTTTTTGGAAACATCATGCACTGTAGGACTTACAGATGTAGGAAATAGTTTAATAAGTAAAAAAACTAAGGAAATCGTTTTCTTACTTTTCAACAATTTCATTTTAGAAAAGATAAAATGAGAAACTATGGAAATCGTTTTCTCATTATTTTTCAAAATAACAACATCAAAAAGCTCCTGAAGGCTTTTTGGAAACATCATGCACTGCAGGACTTACAGATGTGGGAAATAGTTTACTAAGTAAAAAAACTAAGGAAATCATTTTCTTGCTTTTCAACAATTTCATTTTTAGAAAAGATTGAATGAGAAACTATGGAAATCGTTTTCATTATTTTTCAAAATAACATGTTGATTGGGTAACATGCCCCAATCTCAAGATAATGCTCATTTTTGTGGATTGCGTCCATCTCTTCTTCAGATGTTTGCATGATTCCTGTATTTGTGGTTTTGAATACCTTCTTTGTGTAAGGTAATTTTTTACCATGAATCTTCTTGTTCTTCCGAAGATCTGTAAAACTTCATGTTTGAATGCACTCAGATGTATCAATGTAATGCATTGTCTATTGTGTAAATGATATTCTTATGAATGCATGAATGTTGATGCAATCTTCATTTGACTTCAAAGTGGTGAACTTGGTCTTCCTTCACTTCATCATTTATTGCCAGGGTTACCTCTGGATATCAGTGTAGAAACTTATGCTATCAAGCTTGCATTTCTGTAGAATCATCTGATCAACTTGTATCTTTGCGTCTTCTTAACTTCATTTATGTCTCAGAAGAAATGTTTCATTTATGGAACTCTTGTCGTAGTCAAAATTATGACCCTGATGCCCCATTTTCTTTGGTAACACCGGCTTTCTTTGTCTAGACTTGTGTAGAAATACAATAAAGCTTTCATCTTTGAAAAGAGAATCTATCATCTTTGAAGAGTGTAGATGTATATATGCTTGACTCAGCAGGGATTAATTAGGAGAGTAGAGTCTGTTCTAATTTAACTCTTGAAACACATCACAAGAAAGATTTATTCCAATTCCTTTCATGTCTCCACATATAATCAGATCTCGAATAAGGCAACTTGGACCATATCATGTCGAGATGTTTAAAACAACAACCTGTCGTTCAACCTTAGTTGGCTCCACTAGTTTCTTGTTTAAAATTTCAGCTCTCCTTTTGTGGAAAGAAATCTTTATTATATCTCATTTCTAATCTTGGGGTTGAAGAAGACAAACTTCATCTTGTATCAATAAAGGAAAACCATATGATAACAACATTGGTTTAGCATCGGAATAACTGGTTCGTAAAATATTTGACAACACATTCATCATTTCCTGTGGTTTCTACTCAAATTGCTGGTCAATGAAGCTCTTTGCATGGTGTTCAAAGTTTTTGTATGATGTCACAAGACCACTTGAGAACAAAACTCAATGAGAATACAAGTGAAATACTGGTATGACCAAAAAGTTGGTCAAATTCACAAAATGTGCTGGTGTCGAATTGAATAGGAGACACTAATTGATCTTGATATCATCTTGGGCAAGGGAAAGTGTAATATTGATCACGTTTTCTTCTGTAATGAGCATTGTAGAAAGTAGAAATACTTCAGCTATAGGATCCATGTACAGGAAGATATCCGTGGAATTCTTGCTGCTGGGGATGAAACACACATGATAAAACCCAAAATAGATAAAAATTTAGTTCAGCCTGGCTGGCAATGATAACCCCCAGTAACAACGGGAATAACAGTAATATAAGTGAGTCGAGTCTCCCTTTCCAATGTCATCGATTAAGCAAAAATTATTATGAAAAACAGCTTCGTAATTCCAACAGTATGGTTGAAACTAACTGCCAGGAATCTCAAAGAAATATTTTCAATTGTCACCGACACAAAGAATACAAAATTCAAAGCTGAGATCTTGAGGAACTAAACCCTGGATCGAGTAGTTTTGCCTGGGGACCATATTATCCATGATGTTTAACACACTCTCATGTGATACATGGTTTAAGAAGATTGGGTATTTGAAACCATACTTGCTGAGTAGATATTTGTTCAACAACAAGATTCTAATGCAA